GAGATTGCCGCAAGTGCATAAAGTGCTCATCTAATTTGTTCCTGAGGATGCATTCATTTCCTACCGCAATTGAAAAACAAAAATTATTTGAACCGCTCTTAGGCATTTTGCCACCCGATGCAACCTTTATGGGTCTTAAATACTACTGCCCGGCGCCTCTCTAAATTTTAGAAGTTTTGCCGGTCCTATATCATGTTACGCAGTGCCTTTCCCCAATTCTAAAAAGTTTACCATCCCTAAATTTGCCTGCTCTGCGCTTCCTTAAAATTCTAAAAACATTATTGCCCCTAAGTTCTACAGCCCCGATGTGGCCGCACCGCTTGCACCGGCTTTGGCGCTGGCCCTGCCCACGAATACAACTGGACCGGCTTGACTGATCCCGCAGTATTAAGGTCATTCCTTGCTTCGATTTTTTTTTGGCGTGATCGCTTGTTCTAGAATTCTGGACGAAGGAACATCTTTTTTATAGAAGACGCATGATTATGATTGATAAATATTATAATTAAAAGAAAGATTTTTTTATCTGGGTAATAAAAGAATTATAAGGCTAAAATGTCCGAAGGATCCAAATTTGAACTCTTTCAAAGCGCTAAAATAAACCTACATTTAAATAACTTCGAGCCTGGAATCATACTTTTTTTGCATCTATTTTCATTTTACTGCTTAAATGATTAGTGAAGATATGATTTTTCCATACCATTGTACTTATGTACTTTCAGGTTCATATGTATAGTTTGATGTTTCAGTAGTTTTCCATTTTCGAAAGTTTTTTTGCGCAAATTAATGAATAAAGTGAAAAGGGGTAAAGAGGAGAGTAATCAGCCATTGAAGATCATTATATCATTTCATTGATTTTTAGTACTGGAAAGTTTTAGACTTAACTTTGTCTCCTAATCATTCAAGCAAAGTTTCAACCATAGATTCTGGTATCATTAACATTTTGAATCTGCTTTATCGTAAATAACTTGTACTTTATCGCTTACTTTATCGTAACTAATAAAAGTTATAGTAATCGGTAATAGTAACATAAAAGATGCTCCAAGCTATTTCTTAAAAATATTGGAATTGATGCGTATGATCTGTTCACTATTGAAATTCCTGCAAAATTAACTAAATGCTTTTAAAAACTGAATTTTCAAGAATATTTGTCATTCGGGAAAGATGTTCCGTCATTCAAAGAAAAACCTGTTCATAAATTTATGAATGAAAAATGGTAAATGGGGTTTGTTTGAAGTCTTTTGCTATAATGATTCGTTAATATATTAAGATTAAAGAAATGACGATATATTAGGGAAAAAAAAAAAAAAAAAAAAAAAAAAAAAATGGTTGCCATTCTGAAGCAAATGATCATGATAATGAATCCTGAGAGCTCACCAAAAATCTGTACTTCATTAGTCTTCGACAGATGCGTAAAACACGTCATAAGCAATCGAAGATAACATCATCCTTCAGAACTCAACTCAATTGCTTCTGTGCATAATTTTAAAATCTTAAAAAAGGAATGATTATCTAATATATTAAAAAATTTCGTTAAATGTCATTATGCTGTATTAAATACAATTAAAATTATATATGAAATCATTAATATTTTCATTAGTCCCCTATTAGCCTTAGTAAGAAACTTCCAAATTTAATAGTATTATGAAACCATTAGTATGTACATATAAGAAACCAATGTGTTTATAGTTCGCTTAAATGAAGTATTGTGGTTGCTTATCCTCCTGCTAGATAAGTAACAGAATTATTTTGTAATTTTTTTTATTTTCATTCTAAGTTTATTTCTTTCAAATATATTTCCCTCGCACTTTACTTCCCCACTTGACGTTTGAAGTTACGCGTATCTTGAGTGCCCTACATTTAAGCAAATTAAAATATTTACATTTACTAATTACTTTGTGTGAGGAGTAAGTTCGAAATTTCAAATGATTAGAAAAGTAAGGAAGAAAGGCCGTTAAAATCAATAATGATGAGCCAAACTATTAATGAAACATACTAAATTATAACAGTAATTTGCTAAAGGGATACTAAACCCAAATTTTTTCTTATCCTCATAAATTTTATTTCATTATGTCTTAAAGGGCACGGTCAGTCAAAATGTGGAAAAACATGCTTCTATTATAAGTAGCAATGGTAATAAACAAATATTATGGTTTAACATCGTGATAGGCGTGAGTTGCTGTAGAACGAATTTATATAAGAATTTCTTCAAGGGGAGCCAAACCAAATTAACCTTACAAATATCAGTTTTTCAATTTTGATTTTAAGTGAACATTGTTGATTCAAAAAATATAGTAATTACATTACATTTCGTAATACATTACATAACATTTTAGTAAGCGCTAGAAGATTAAGTTAAAAGATGTAAATTAACACAGACATGCCTATTTTTTAAAGAAACAGTTTTCAAGATGCAGCTTTTAAATAGTTTCAACTGAGTCTTATGAATATTTTTTCTAATTATTATGCTCAGTTTGTGTCAAAGATACCATGCCTAAGCACTTCTCTTTAGAATTACGACTGTTGAAGACAAAAGTAGAACTTTTCGGCGATTTGGATTCGAAGGAGGATTTACTTCAGCACATCAATGTATAGAACGAATCTTCTAAAAATAGGTTTGTTGGTGTAAAATCATTGAATATTGGAGAAGGGATATACACTGGCGAAATAAATTAAGAGAATTTGCATATTTTATCGAATTGCATGAAAAGAACTGAATTGAAGGAAAAACCACTCCTTCTAGATAAAAATGCAAATCATGTACGGCTAATACCTAAGCGTACACGTGTGTGTAGCCAGAGCCAGCAGAAAAACAGGCTTCATAAGCGCGTGGAGGGTAAGACGAATTGCGTTCGCTAGCACACTTCGCCAAATTTCTTGGTGTCATCATGCAGCAATCGGTTAATTTCACATCGGAACAGTAAGAATGAGTAACCACCAACGTTTAGATGATGGGATGTGGTGGCGAATTGTGGGAAGACTAGAGGCAGGCCATTTGCAAGTCCATATATGGAGAGAGTTTAAGTTAACGCCCAGCGTCGTGTGCAACCTATGGAAACAATTCCAGGATACTGGATCCATCGAGAGAAAGTCTGGGCAAGGTCGTCCAAGAGCCACGACGGCCAGAGAAAATCGCTATTTGTCCATTTTAGCGAGGCGTAACAGAGAGGCTATAGCTTCTCAGCTCTCTCGGGACCTGCATGTAGCCACGAGAATCTGTGTAACAAGGGTGACTGTTTCCAAAAGACTGAACGAGAGAGGGTTGTTTGCCAGCAGACCGGCTGTTTGCGTCCCGCTCACGTCTACGAACAGGAGAGTCCGATTAGCATGGTGCAGGCAACATAGTGATTGGAGTACGGAGCAATGGGCGACCGTTCTGTTCACCGATGAGTCCCGTTTTAGCCTAAACAACGATTCTCGCCGTACTTTGATATGGAGAGAGCCAGGGACCCGCTACCTACTCTCCAATCTCCGCGAAATCAACAATTATGGCGGTGGTGGTGTAATGGTCTGGGCAAGTATCATGATGGATGGAGATCATCATGATCATGAGAGTATTCGCCGGATGGATTGGCCAGCCCGGTCTCCAGACCTGAACCCTATACAACATGTTTGGGAGGCTCTGGGAAGGGTAACTGCAACTAGCGATCCCCTCCGAGAACCATCCAGGAACTGAAAACAGCGTTGCTGAATGAATGGGACCAATTGCCACAGGCAGTAATAAACTGCTTTATTTTTAGTATGACATCGCGCTGTGAGGCCTATATGGCTGTAAGAGGGGATCATACCACCTATTAACCCATTTCTTTTGTGTCTTCTGCAGTCGCTGTTTCAGACCTTCCGACTTCCATGAGTGTTGCACACGAACATCTGTGTCTATTATAACTGAATGTTTATTTTGTTTATATTATATGAAATTTCTCTTAATTTCTTACACCAGTGTAGTTATATGTTTTAAAGAAGCTATTTTTGTTGAACTGAAGGGTTGAAAATTTCAAGGATTAATATAATATACATGTCCATTCTTCAAAGTTGAAATGATGATTAATAAAAATCACCCAGGAAGCAAGAATTTTTAAAAGACAAAATAAAAAGAAACTTGCTGCAGAGCAGTTATTACAACATGATTGTGGCCAAGAAAGTTAAAACATTTTACAAACGCAGTAGATAGAGCGATTTGTTTCGTTCTTTTATCAAAACTAATTTTTTAAGATATTTAAAATTCTATCCATCAAAGAAACCTTAAATTTTGCTTTAGAATGTTACTTTACTACATGTACTGAATGGATTGATTTAATTTTTTTAAAAGAAGAAATGAACTATTGAGACGCTGATTTCGTTTAAAAATGTAGTACATTTTTTAAAAATTCGAATTTTCTTAAATTAAAAAAAAATTAGCTCTACATGTGAGAAGAGAAATAGATCCACTTAAATTTCTGAATAAATTTAACTATTTCTGTAAATTCGAACTCTATAGATAAGAGTATTTTTCATGTGTACCTAGTTGTGAACATGCATCTGAAATCGATTATTTTAAGGAAGTTTTAAGATTTCTTACCAAAAATCTAATATTGAGTACAAAATTAAACTTTAACAAAATAATAATAATGCATAGTTTATATAAAAAATATTTTGATTATGAAATGAGTATTATATAGAAAAAAGTCTGAAAATTAATGAGGAAAATGTTCACGTTTTTTCTTGTCGAAAAGATCTTAACTCCGCTTAAAAGTACTTCAGTTACAATTATGTTTAAAGAATTTTACTTACATATATTGCAAAGTTATGAAATGCTGCTTGTATTTCCAGGATAATTTTGCTGAAATATAATAAATTTAGAAACTTAATATTGATATAAGTTGTCAAACTAGATATTTTGCATGTTTTGGGTCTTGTCGTAGAAAAATGATTTTTGTGTTTAAAATTTTATAAAAATTGCGGTCATTGTACGTTATTTTGAAACTTTTATTACATATATTAAAAAAATTGCAAACTGAAAACTGTAAATGTTAAATTAATATTTATTACATATATTTAGCGTTTTGTACAACATAAATATGCACCAATATTTCACGCTGTCGTTTTATATTATACGTAAATACATAAAAAGCTTTGACATAACATCAAGACCAGCTTTTATGAACTTCGGAATTTACAACAAAATAACACAGAATAGCAATGTCACTCGCATAGTGATAACATTTTGACGAGAAGTTTTTAATATAACAACTATCAAAATACAGTAAACACATTTACATACAAATATATTTTACTACAAACAGATGCAAGCAAATACAACAATTGTTATGATACAGCCACAGTTTGTAATACATTCTAATACATACAAGTTCTCCAGTTTATTGTAAAACAAAGCAAATATGTAAAGTAGCTGACAAATTTAGTTTGTGTATGAAATCTTAGAACAAACTTTTTCCTTCCCCCAAATCAGCAGTAGCGATCCACTATATTTACGAGAACAGAGACGGTTTAAGTGTATAAAGCATCAAAAGATGGCACCACTAACGAATAGAAATTTTGAAACCTCAAAAATCGTTTTCCGTCACAAATTCTAAGCACATAATTCCATTACAAACAACCACCATTGTTAGTTTATGTACGCAGTTTCTGCTACTAATATCTTGTTACACTGGTGACATATTTAATGAAGCACGCTAATCCATCGAATTCAACAAAATTTAAAATATTACTTCAAAATTTGTAACATTTTATAGGAATTAACACATTTTATACTGTTGACAGTAAGAACATGCTAACATGCTTTTTTTATGTTTCGACGTTCTTCCATGATAAAAAAAAAAAAAAAAAAAAAAAAAAAAAAAAAAAAATACGGTAGACATATGTTATTAAAATTCATAAAGCCATTTGATCATTTAGTAATAGTCAAATTTTATAACCTAAAAGCTGAGATGATTTAGTATTTAAACTTTTTATAAAATAAAATTTTACCGATTAATAATTTTCATATTTTTATAGAGTTAAATTCAATTTTACAACTGAAAAACATGTTGAAATTTGGCAGAAATAATGAAGATTGCAATTTTGAAAAATTCAATCAAACAAACAAAACTAAATTCTGAAAATTTTGTTTTGTTCTGTTACTGCCTTCTGTCTCGTTTATATAACACAAATTATACTGAAATGAATTTAAAAGCTTGAGAGTGCATGCTAAAATTTAGTGCACAGAATTTTCAACGAAACTGCGACATTAATATAACTAAGAAGTGCACACATTTTTAAAAATGTTTTGCATTTAACATTGAATATAAAATATTGAGTCATTGAATGGAAATTGGCCTTATTTCTTAAGTTATGAAATATAATATTGATACAGAGGCAAATGGAATAAAATTAAGTAAAGCACCTGAAACCCTCTTTTGTAAAGCAAGAATAAATAGCGTTTAATAAACATCTGATGTTTTTTTTAAAGTACTTGTTGTTAATTTATGTAAAATAGATGCATGCAGTATTAAATAAAAGAAGAAGAATGTAATAGCATAAATCTACAATTAGCCATGAAAGAAAGGCAAGTTTAATTAACGACGAGAAAATTCAATGAGTAGAAATCAGAAATGTTAAAAGAACTTTATACGTACACTTTTTAAAAAACGTCATATATAAAGAAACCCTTGAAACTTAATTTTATTTTAAAATATTTACTACTTCCAAAAAGTATTCACTGCGTACTTGAAGTATGTTGTATATATTAAGGGGGTCTTAAAAGTGATTAAGGATGTCTGTGACAAATATTAATGAATGACTAGTTACTTCTAAGAAAATAATTAGAAGTACTTGTTAAAAGAAAGCTAGGAAACTAAAAACTGAGCTAATAATTTAAACGTTTCCTTCATGGGAAAAAAAAAAAAAAAAAAAAAAAAAAAGTCTTGGAGTTTTATCGTTTTACAAAGGTGGTAAAAAATGACAAATATTTCTTAATTTTCTCACGCGTAAATTCGACTGTATTCGTAAAGTAATTAAGTTTGAAAAATCTATAAAAGGATTTCTAATTTTGTGTAAAATTAGTTTACAGAAGCATACGTTACCTCATTAATATTAATCCTAGCCCTGACAAGCGTGAAATTACTAAAATTTTTAAAACATGCTTACAAATTTATACAAATCTACTTTGAATTTTTTTTCGAGAGAAACACTTACACACATATTAAGCAATGAAACCTAAGAAAATATAAGAAACATGAAATTCTCTCTACAACCTAATGCATGTTAAATCTGTATTAGAATAATAATATAAATTAACCTTGTATGATTAATTTAAGTCTGTTTTCAAATTTGATGAGTGTAAATTTTTTATACTACATGTAATTTTTTTTCACCAGTAATTTTTAATTGGAAATTATTAAGATATAGAAATGGATATTCAGTTACTGGCCATTAAAAGTATAAAAGATATTTGTTCTAAAAAACTAGAATTCTTTGCTCTGAAAGATAATATTTTACCATTCTAAATTATTAAACGGCGAAATTTGAAACATCAGATTTATTTCAGGCATTGTTATTTTTTTTTAAAGAAAAGTGCGTTGAAAAAAACCCAGTTAAAATCATATTTTAGGTACACAACTCGGAGGCAAATAATTATTCTAAATAGAAAATGCAGTAGTATTAGTGATTGATTAGACTAAATAAATGGAAAACGTTAAGACTTTTAAGTTGAAAAGGAAACGGAAAAAGTACTTGCTTAAAAAGACTTTCTATATGCCGGCATAAACTTACTGACTATATTCACATTTCTTTAGGAGTTTTACATTTTAAGTGTGACTTAAAAAGTGTAGTTCATGAGTTCCATCAACAGTTTGAGAAAAAGACAATTTTAAACATTTGTGTATCATTTATGAGACTGACCTCTCAAAAATAAGAAGCTTAATTATATAGTTCTGAGGGTGCATTTTAACTGCTTAATAAAGAACAAAAAAATATTGGATTTACATTCCATTTCTTATTTCCGGGCAGTAAAGCATAAAAGCACGACTAACCGAAAAGATTCATTTGATTATTTGTTGAACTTGGTACAAAGCTTTTCTACATGTGCCGAAGTCAAATTATTCACGGCTATAGTTGACATGGATGACAGCAACAAAGAACCGGTTTTCTCTACTCAGATTTATTTATATATTATACGCCCTCCATTTCGAAATTCGGGTCCTCTTGTTAAGGGCATCATTGATGTGACTATAAACTCCGTGAGATGCCAAGAGTTTTTCAAAAGGTAATGTTTTAAATATATCTTTATGCATGCATTGCAGTAATAGTCTTCTCCGCAGAAAATATCGCAATGTTTCTTCATCAAGTTGAAGCCTTTTGGTTCCTTCTGAAGAAGTTGCTTCCATATGACTTCCGATGAAAGCAATTAATCTTCCCCAGCAGTCTCTGTAAATTCACACATAAACCCAGTGCTTCCACTGAAAGCAAACATGCATAAGCCTTGTAATTAATACAATAATACAATATGTTACAGAAATTGAATATCACATTACAGTTCTGATAATTTTAAATATTTTATGTGAGAAAAAGTTAGAATGGGAATTTAAATTTGAATCTTTTCGTGTAAACCGGATGTAATTTGTAAAATTTACATTTCTATTATTTTTCGAAAGAGCGTAAATGCTTTTCGGATCTTCGCATTTTTATTTACATTTATTTATTTACCTATTTCTTGCTTCTACCGCCAAGAATGTTTCTAGCATCGCATTAACACCCTTTTAAACTACTGTTTTCATGGATTTAGGGTCTACCACAATTTCAACTAATATTCTGTTAATACCACCGTTTTAAACCCATAATCCCTTAACTACGATCCCTTAACTGCGCCATAGTTTCTCTGCTTTATATTAAGTATGTAGTGAAAATTTGTAATTTTAATTGCGATTTTTACTGACACAAGTATACTTATGTATTAATGTGTTAGATTCTTAAGTTTACAATAAACAAGACAGAATTTACACAGGTTTTGGATGCTTTTGTGATGATTAATACACTGGTATTTAAAATTAAAATAACAGACACGTTCCCTCAAATTTTTCAAAAAGTACTGAACAAAAACTAGCAAATACGCCTTCAAGTAACAATGCTGTTGGTGTCGACTACGTAATCATACCCTCATAGACAAATAATGCGGCAGCAGTTTTAAAAATCTGCCGTTTGTTATTTTTATCCAACGTTTTTCTTTCACATCGACGAAAATCATGTGTTTCTTGTGAAAGTTTACTAAATAGCGTACATCTCCCATACTAGTTTACTAAATAGCGTACATCTCCCATACTAGTTTATTAAATAGCTTACATCTCCCATACTAGTTTACTAAATAGCGTACATCTCCCATAGCGTACACCAAGCGGTACTCTCAGCCATAAAACTTGACATCAACATTACGTCAATAAACAACAAATATCCATTAACTCTAAAAGCCAAGCAGCCATATTTTTTATCCAAAATCCTGACAACCTTTCTCACCTGGTCTATCAAATCATTCAAATCTCTGAAGATATCAGTACTGAAATAACCATAATTTGGATCAAAGCGCGCAGTGGCAACGTTCGCGATCTTGCAAAAGAAGTTGCTCTTTCCCAAGAAGGCGAGTTCCTTAACGTCAGGCTTCCGAAAATCGCAGATACGACAAATCCTAAACAAACGTCTAACTCACGAGTGGCAAGAAGAGTCGAATAAAGGCACCGGCGCACCCACCAAAACTTAGCACAAAAATTGGAAGCTCCAAATTTTTCCTAACATATTACGTCACCGGTCATGACCCATGTCCAGATTATTTCTTAAAAGGAACCTCTCTTATTAGCCACGATTGCATCTGTGGAGACAAAGGAGATGCAAGCCATTACCTATTCTTCTGCCCTCTTACAAGTGATTTGCACATCCGGAAACCCACCAATCTAGACCTTAACTTCAAAAGACTGGTGATATCTCACCGCCATCTATATCCACAAATCATGAAAATACACCAAAAGAGCTCTACTCTAGGATTGTACCTATGTCAAGTCACACCTTAGAGCTGAAATCGAAAAAGAGGAAAGAACACTTACCAGGTTACACCTCAGTTACTGATTTCGAGCATCATCAGCCTGGAAATTGATTCTACATATCCTTTCATCAGAAAAGAACCCAGGACCAAGTATCTTCCTCCAGTATGAGGAAACAAACTACTGAAGAAGCGGCGATCTCTGGCAATGCATCAAGCTGTGTGGTCCCATACCACTCCAAGTTTCCGATAGAAATTTCCAGACTGTTCATAGGTACACAGAGAGTATTTCAGAGCTCATGCACAACGTTTTAGGCATGCAATTGGTTTTCACTCTCTTTTCATGGCCGATGACTTTACTTCGCATAGGACTTAACGTGAGCGAATGTATTCAAAGCGAAGCTATTCCACGGACGGATTGGTCAACCAAATATCCAGACCTGAGCTTGGCTGAACCTGTCTGGGATGCATTTGAGAAGGCAGCTGCAATTTGTCAATCGTCTTCGAGAATCATCATCTGCTGAATCTTAGTTCTTATCTGAACTAAGAACTGCTTTTGTACAGAAGTTGGTGCGGCTTCCACTGGGATTTATTAACTATCTCGTGAACACGAAGATGACTTGTTGTGCGCCATGTGCGTCTGTTAGAAGTAACCACACCCATACCAGCTACATTTCAGGCGCCATCTTGTCAATCTTGGACATTTTTGCGCTCGTGAACATTGTTCACGTTTAATGATTTAATATTTTTACTTTTATATGGTGTAAACTATTGCCTTATATTACTCTGTATGCATTACGAACTTCATTAAATTCTCATGATTCTCATGCTGCATTTTGAGAAATTTTGAAAGACGTATTTATTCTCTTAATTTTGAACATAAATGTAATATAATACATTTAATCTAAGGTTTTTAAAATAATTGGTGTATAAAAATTAAATTGTTTAGAATATATGTTTGAAATTTTTGTTACTCAATTATATTATGACAATAAGTTAATTGTTAATAATAATTATTAATTAAGTAATTAGTAATAATCTTCAGACACATTTGTAATAGTGATCGGCTCTCACAGTGAACATGATTCATCAGTGAAGATCATCCATCTTCAACGGAAGCATCATGATATTGATCAGGTCAAAAACCATGAGAATCTACGCTGATCGCTGATCAAATTAGTAGCTACGAAATGGCTACTTGGAAGACTGACTATTCTTGGAATACTTTTAGAAAAGGCTTACTAGAAATGACTGAAATTGAAAGAAAGCAGTCTTCAAAGCTTTCTTTCGGACACCGGTAAACTCAGTGGTGAGATCCACGGGCTGAGATCTGTAACATGCACCTCGACTGCGAGCTGAGTGCCGTAGCAGAGAAGAGTTGGGGAAAAGAGTTGAGCTGACTTGTATGAAGCTTTATTAAGAAATCTTGACAGAAATCATGAAAGAAAGTTTTTCTTAAAACTGTCAATCTTGAATCAGAGATTAAACCGCTTCATTTAGCCACTGCCAGACATAAGTTCACAAAATATAATTTATTTTATCACACTCCTATTATTTGAAAGTTATATATGCAAAGTCATTGTAATAACTATAATTTGTTAAGCGACAGAAGAGCATGTCACTGACTTCTCTTAAATTAAACGACAATCATTTTAATTTGCATGACAATTTTTGTTTTCATTTTTTGTTTTTATGTCATTTGATCAAGGAATGCATTTTTGGCCTTAAAGCAAGGCTTCCTGCATTGTTAGGGCTCATGTTAAGAAAATTATAAAAAAAGAATTTCTTTACATAGCAGACCTATTATTACTTATAGTGATATCCTTTATTTAGGGAATAGCTGGTATTAGTGATTTAAAAAAATTTTTTTTTTAATCATTTTAGAGCAAGTTGCTTGATTTTCCTTTTTTGTTTTTATGTTCCATTTGATCAAGGAATGCATTTTTGGCTTAAAGCAAGGCTTTTGCATGTTAGGGGTTAGAAAATTTAAAAAAAGAATTTCTTTTACATAGCAGACCTTTATTACTTATAGTGATATCCTTTAGGTAGGGTTAGTGATTTAAAAAAATAATAATAATTTAAAAAAACTGTAGTTATAAAGCATCAAAGTAGGTTATAGATTCAAAAATTAAGCTTTTATTGGGAGAAATTTCTAAAGCATATGCATGACATTCTCCTAAATACGTTTTAAAATAAGCATGGACATGACGTTATAATTTTATTATTAAAAAATTCTGTTAGAAATATGAATAAGTTAAGCTGCTCATTACTTACTAAACACTGGAAGGTTTTACATCTTAAAGGGGATGTTTCTAAATGACCTCCTAAGGGAAATTGATTCGTATCGAAACTGCACTATAGAAATCACAAAAATCTTCAATGGTTTTATTCACATGTCAGTTGATGGGCAGAGGAAGAATAAACATAAATATAAAGCTTCTGGAAATGCGTACATTTTTTATTATTCATTGGCTAAACAAAAAGCAGTGGAAAAATGAAGAATTTTATTCGTTTCCTGTCGTATGTTAAATTTTCAGCATAAAAATTGAAATATTTCCTTCAAAAGCTTTTTCTTTAAATTTCTTTTTGTATAATATTTATTCCAAACAATGTGAAAGGGAATGTAAAAGATCACAATTCATAATCTAGTTTCACTCTAATTCGTTCATATATAGAACACTAAATTCTTAACTAGTTGGTAAAGTATTATTTAAAAAAATTAATAATTAACATAAAGTATCCCATTTTATGTTGTAATTACGAGATATAAGATGCAATTTGACTTTTAGTGCTTTTGTAGTTTATTGTTAATTAATTAAAGAGCAAAATGTAAGGAGAAAAGCATTTCATTTTAAGCAACAGAAAGGTATAACTGTGCTAAGGTTCAAATTGGTATTTATTTTCACAAAAATCTAAGCATGCTGTGTACTATGCTTTGAATTTCAATAGGAGTTTCCCCAAATCAAGCCTTCTCAGAAGCCTCAGGCCCGCATAAGACGGTAATGTTCATGGTTCACTTTGCCTGAAGTTCCTGCAGGAAATGATATTGTGCATATTCTGATCTATGTCAGCTATAAACTCAAAAATGTACACAAACTGTTACATCAGTTTTTATGGCTAGCAATAAAATAATCGCGAATTGCATGATTAAAAATACGCACATAATAGTGAGGTTTCATTGAATTGCGACTTCAGTGTAAGTGACTTGAGTTCAGTCCTACAACTGCGAAATGTATGACAAGTGAACCCAGTTACATACAACTAAAAATGCTCAGTCTGGAGTAGAAAAGCAGCTATAATGAGGATCTCCTAAAGAGAGGGCCCACCAGCGGCCGAGCAGTAAAGTCGCTGAACACTGGTAGTTCGGTCCGGGGTTCGAATCCCGCGAACGGGCTGGCTGCATGGGCGTTTTCGTGGTTTCCCCATGTGTAACGTGTATACGAGTCAGTTTCCCTTAGAAAGTCCTCCACGAAGGCATCCCTCCCCTTAAGCAGATAGCCCTAGTGAGCTTTGCCATAATTAAATACACCATACACCTAAAGAGAGGGCATAAGAATTTTTCACTCTTCATTTAGCCCTTTAGCGAATTTTAAATTATAAATTCTAGTACAACAGGTTTCTCAAAGTTGTCGCAATAGGTTAAGCATAACTATGTTATTCCTGGAGTAGTGGAACAGAAGTCAAATTGCATCCAGTCAATAAAAGGGTAGGCTTACGTTGGTCTTGATAGGTAGAAGCTTATAGTGTTAAGATGGTGATAGTATACCAATAAATAATGTGATGAAATGGTTGCCATGCGGATACTGAGAACTGTTTGCTAATGGAAGCGATTGTATGGGCTGGAGAATGTATTGCTGGCACAGTTGGTTGGTTAACTAATTAAGCACTGCATTGCTGGCTTAAGTCAAAACCTTTGTGTTTAAAGATCGATCAGTGATTTAACACGTTGAGCGCCACGTCAGCCACATGTGGCTGACACTAGACTTTCCGTTTAGGCCGCGTCATATGTATTATATGTATGTGACATATGTATGTATCATATGTATGGGAGATCTTATGTATTTCACTACTTTGTATTAATGATAATGAAAGGTGCAACCGAAAAGAGTACATTTCGTTAAAACGGTTGGCAGAAGAATCCAGTAGAATACAACAAATATTATTGTCGCCCAAATGCTGTTGATCGTAACTTGGTCAATAGTTTATGAAGTAACTCCAGCAATAATGGAATAGGCGCTAACCTCTGTAGCTTGTTGTGGACGGCCTTGGTTAACACATAGCTCTAGATTCATCCTGATACCATTCATTATTCTCTATAGTAAATGCCAAAGCATGTTCACCTTTTTTTTTCATAGCAACAGTTGGACACATTATACAGGTCGTCGCTTTCAGTAAACACTCAATATATGAATATATAGCGCTATCATTTTACGTATTGAAAATTACTTTACTGGAATTTCCATTAGAGTATAGATCCGTTGATACAGATGTTCTGTTCTTCCTATAAGTAAGCAAATAAAGGAAAGAAAATCTGTTTCATAATATGTGTGCTAAGCACGTTTTCTTTTCATGCTTAGGAAGGAAGGAAACAGAAATTAGTGAGTAAATCGTAATGGACAAATCATCACATTATGAATCAATGAGCAGTCGTAATACTTACCACATTTCAATGGTTTATATGAGTAAAAATAGTAAGTAAAATTAAGACCCGGGTGAGAAAAATACGTCTATGCATTTGAAAATTGTATCATATCTAATAAACGTACTTTGAAACGTTTCACATCACCGTCTTCCAGCACATCCCTTTCTTCTTCAGGCGTAATTGTGTAGGCCAGTTTCTGCAAAAAATCATTTCCAATTATTCATAAAATTATAAAAATTCAAAAGACACTACTAAAATTCAATCGAGTATTGCTTTTTGGTTTTGAATAGGGTAAAGGATGCTGCTCTGGTTTCTAGATAAATCAGCTTTGTTCTCTTCAAAACATTTTATAAAATATATCATCTGGCAAAGTGTTGAGACGATGAGCTGAATTATTATCTATTATTTCTTTGAAAGAATATCGCAGCCTTATACTATATTGAACATACAATTACTTTCAAAAATTCTCCCCCTTTTTAAACCAATTAGGTCCTCGCAGAAATATCAGTTTAAGAGACCATTTCTAACTAATAAAAAATAGGTCACATAACTTTCCAAAAATAGTACGTCGCTTCTTTCGGCCCAGGAAGTATCGGCGAGATTGCGCTTATGAATCTTAGTTTCGACAATATGCACATTGAATTAAAATTTATAACTTCCTAAGTATTTTAAGATTTTGAAAGATTTTTAAGAATTAGTATTACTCAGATTTAGCGTACTTAAATTGCTTTTAATTGAAAAGCGTATCATATATTGATAATTTAGTGAGCAAAATTTCTTAGGTTTTTCCAATGAAAGAATTCTGTTTTGATATACAGCATATCTATTGGCTCTTAGTCTGCAATATATCCTCCATTATTATATATTAAAGATTTTTAAACTCTTCCATCTCTTTCCTGCTCTTTTCTACTGTAGGAGAAGTTTTGGAGTCCACGGCGAAAATTCTCTGCATTGTCATATTGTTGTCCTTAAAGAAAACTGTGCAGTTACCTAAAGATACGATACTCTGTTGCAACAACATACACTAAACAATATGAGCTCATACCTAGCCTCTTGTTACTTTTTCTGATTACGCGCAGTCATTTGGGATCTTGTATTATCCTGACGGACTATCACAAACCTAGGATTTATCAGTGACGGCTTCTTTTCTCTCAGATCATTGAAAGAAGGTCCAGCTATAGGCAACTACACTTCCCATTTAATATTTGCTTCGATAGTAGAAGCTCAAAAAATCACTTCTCTGAAATCCCCGTCAAATACCGAATCATTTCAGAAATAATGCAGTTTTTTTAGTTGAGTTGAAAGCCAGAAGTGGACGGAATAAACTACCTGCATCAGCATGATGTAAAAATAGGTGACATAACTCATAGACGGAGGACAAAAGGCAGCCTCTGTTAGTACAAAGCCTTGCCTTCCAGAGAGGTCAAAAAAAGGCCAGGCTTCTCCGGCACATATTCTTAGGTGTCTGGGTTTGTCCTACGACGACCTGGTTAAGTTTCCTATGCTAGTCTACGACTTCTTGAAGGTGAATAACTTCGTGGATCTCGTCTAGCAGAAGCTGGACTTGACTATTAGCAACAACAACAAAAACAGGTAGTAATTTTACCTTGCGCTTATTATTAGTGCAAGTTTCGATGAGTACAGTTCTATTTTAACAGTTGTTTTTCCAAAGCTAAACGGAATTGACAAAGGCGCATATTTGACATATTTTGTTTTATGAGTTTGTAAGAATTATGTTAATTTATCTAGCAGTTAAATTTTGAGTTAAAATAACTTTCCCATTGCTTCTTAATTTCAAGCTTACAACTTCCGGCCAGAACGTATTTTTAGAATCGCGTTTGAATGCAAATGATGATTAACTCTGAAGTTCTACTGACTTCGTTAGAGAGAACCAGTGATTCTGACTAGCGCGCGTTCGCCTTTTTAGGCTACTCTCTCTTAAGCTATTATTACGCACAGCCGTACTCTAGGCTCTTGATAACCTCGCCGTTAATTAGCGTTAAGGGGTCAATTCTGTTAGAATATTGATAGCTTCGGCTACATCTTTTTCGTTAGGATTAGTTAAGTTTATTTTCTTAGTACCTGAGCTCCAGTCCGAGTGGAGGCTTTATTCTAAAGTTCCAAAGAGTTCTGTGAAATTAATTTGGAATAATAAAGGTTATTTAACCCTTCCCAAGTTTATTTTCTGTCTCACGAAATCAAGCGATTAGTCGCTTACCAGTTCTTAAGATTCTTCAACTTTAATTGAAACTTAAAAGTACACAGGTTAGAATCTTACAATTAAATAATTATTAAATTATTAAGAGACATATTGATGCAGTACACGAGGATCGAATAATAAGCGTAAGTCAACGGTGGTTCTAGAAACAGGCCAACAGTGCCCATGGCAGTATCAGAAATTCCGACTTCAGTATTAACATAAACAAAGTTTATAGTTAAATGAACTATTCTCAGTTGTTAAAAAATAATTTGTGGATGTAATCGTTGTTTAGAGAAGGATCCTGGAGATTAACCTGTCCCACAACAATCTGATGTTATTCGACTTTTGTACAAAACTCATGTTCCAGTTATTAGTTGAGGCAAAGTTCCGGATACATTCTGTCTCTTTTCGATAAATCATCTGGTAACGAAAGTCCACATTTATCTCAATTTCCAAATTGTTAATCTGCTTCTGCAATGTCTTCCCTGTAAACACCTCCCCCAGCACTGCCACAATAATCTTGTCGTCACACTGACACGCTTTCAACAGGATTTCGTCTTTCAATTCAAAAGTCTTCCTGACCGATTCCGTTTTCTAGCTGCTTCACCATCACAAGCTTCAGAATCAATACTGGCATGTGCGATCTGACTCAGCATTATTGGTATATATATATATGTCACATATCATTTGACATGTTTCTGTCACTCTGCGTTCTAGATCATACGCATACAGATGAAAATATATGAGATGCTCTTTTCGACCTTCGTTTCTTCAGTTCTTGCCTATCATTGAGCGACAACTTGTAATGCCCATACAGAAATCTTTTACTAGACAGAACACTGGATAGCCCTAAAGTGTTCATTTAAGCTTCCATTTCGTTTCGTATGCAGTCATTAAAGTTAGTGAATGAGTACATGCAAAATGTTTTAATGGTCAAAAGCGTAACCAGAATCAAAAAAAAAAAAAAAAAAAAAAAAAAAAAAAAAAAAAAAAAAAAAAAGTTTTGCAAATTCTCAATAACTTGCAAGTGCCGCCAAAAGTGACCTTTCTGAAGCTGAAGAAGAAGAAAAAAAGAGAAATTTTGAGCCAGAGAAAAGAAAACTATGGAATGTATTATTTGACGATTGAGTATATAAATAATACACGGCTTTTGTAATTGTAAAAATGAACGAGCGAATTAAAAATAGAGTTGCGAGACATCTGTAGAATAGCTGTAGAGACATTAGGTATCTTTTGAAAGCAAGAAAGATGAAAAGTGAGCAACGCCTTCGCCGGGAATTGAACAACGGACCTCTGGAATACTGGCCCAGCGTGGTGACCATTACACTACAAAGGTATGTTAAGAAGGCGGGAGAAATACCTTATATAGCTACTGGAAATGGAAGGGATAAAACTGTCCATCCGACGTTACCTTCATCCTCCTTCAGCTGAAACATAGATTTGAGCTTATAGAAACGCTCCCTTATATAGCAACTTACTACACTCCGCAGATGGATAGTCGATAGTGCTTGTACCACCGCGAGTTGTTTTTTTCCTCTTACAATTAATAATAAAAGTGTTTCCACCTTTGATTTTATTTATCGTGTTCGCAGCTTGGATTATTCCTTAATGAGGTATGAAACTTCGATGCTATTTTAATATTTGCTTAATCGCCAGTTAACTGCGTTTAAATGACAAACGGCTGTACTGCGCGTTTTTTTAACGTTTGATTATGGGACTGCGAGCCTGTTTACTTCATCCCAAAGCATAAAGCATACCGAAATAAGCTTTAAAATATAAAAATAAAAGCAGCCTGTGGCCTAGAATTCCCATTTTTCGAGTCAGTATCGTCCGTTATTATTCACTTTACTGTATAAATCATCTATACAGTTACCATTAGTCCCCCGAATTGCTACTGCACTAGTAATCAATAATGTAACGAAATAGAGAAATAGAAACAGTATATTCTTTTTAATAACATTTAAAAACTTTTTTCATCACTAAGTTTTATTAACACGTATATGATCAGTATAATTAATAAAGGAAATTTACCCTCGTGCAAAACTGTGTATTTTGGCTACAGAATCCAGTTTTCTTGGATACGAGCTTGAAGTAATTTAGTTTTAAAATTGAAGAAACGAATAATCAAGTAAAATAATACATACGCAGGTTTCGATTAATTTAAAAAAGAAAGAAAACTGAAAATGTTTTTCAGGAATATTAAAATTTTTTCTAACTGTTACGTATTAAATTACGTATTTATTTTATAGGAAATGAGAGAAGAAATCAGTGGATTGGAGAAAGTCACGATAATTTAACGTAATATTAAAGCAAATTCGAGAAAAGTTCAGAATTTGGGAGCAAATGATAAAATAAGAAATTTCAAGAATCACATTTAAAAAAATCTCTTAACAGGCATAAAGAATAGTTTGCGAAAAGAGCAATCAAGAGCCCTTTTCATCCTGAATAAGATACCTTTATATGTTTTATTAAAATTTTAGAAAATCTGTACTTAATATGTACTCGGTTAACATAACATTCATTAAATAGAAAATTTTATTTGACGTTTGTAGTTTTTAAATGTCTAGCATATTACTGTAATAAATAAATTTAAATTATTCCCTTTAAAAAGTAATTTTTTTCACAGTTCCTGAAGAGCACTAGAAGTATTTTTTGTCAGATTCGAACTCTTTTATTTCTAATCCATGCTTTCATGTATTATCATATGAAATTTGGAATGTGCATTTGGTATTTAGTTTTGTTTTGTTTTGTTAGGGCGTAAAGATTTCAGTATGTCTTTAGAAAAAGATGAAAGTTTTGAATCGCTATAGATCTTTCAGCTCTTCAGTCATGTTAAACGTATGGCGATGTTTTATCGCCATTTAGACTTCATCAGAAGGTCATCAAAGAGGCCTAAGAATCACAGAAACTTTACACTATCAGTTAAAACTAACTTTTTAACATTTTAAAAAAGAAAGCACGCCTCGCAGGGGGCTAAATATTTAAACATTAACCCA